AACTTCTTCCAGCCAATTCTTACGGTTTCATTCCCTCACTCCGTGACTGCCTTTATGCCTTTTTCCGTCGAACTCCGCATCCTCTTCCTCCTCCTCTTCCTCCTCCTGTCTCCTCAACCCCCCCCCCCCCCCTCCCTATCTCCTCGCCCTCAGACTTCTCTCTTTCCATCATTTATTTGCTCCATCACCTCAAGCTTCGCCGACTTGTCTTGCAAGTCTTGTTGAAGCTGTTCAACCGTCAACTCCCTAAACGTCCTCAACTTCATCAACCTGTCCGTTGAGCTTCCGGAGCTTTTCAACCTGCAAAGCAGCAAGATCACTGACCCGCATCATCCTCAATGTCTTGCTCAACCTCCTCCTCCTCCTCCTCCTCCTCCTCCTCCTCCTCCTCCTCCTCCTCTCCTCTTCGACCGATCCCCTCCTCTCACCTCGAAGTTCGACTCTGACATCTGCTGTTCATGGAACTGACGCGCAAGGATAAGCAAAATGTCTCCATATGCTGACGTCATCACCTGCTCGAGGACCTGCTGGATGCGATCTCTCTCAGCTAAGCTCCTGCACCACATCCGTGAGAAGAGAAGGGAGGAGGAGGAGGAGGAGGAGGAGGAGGAGGAGGAGGAGTATCACTTGTCTCTCTCTCCCTCCAACGTCTCGCACGACAGCCTGAGCTCCCTGATCTCCGCGTCCCTCTTTTCCATTTCCTCCTTGTGCTGGCTCTCCGCCTCGTATAGCACCTGCTCGGCCTGTGCTGTGGTTGAGCGGCGAGATGGCAAAATGTGAGGAGCGGGGAACCTCTTCCTTCTCCTCCCTCAGCCGCTGCAGCTCGTCCTCAAGAATTTCAACTTCCTGTCCTCTCACTTCATTGTCTTCCGACGTCTTGGCCACTTGCGACTGCGACATCATCGTCGTCACCTCAGCGCGACCTGCTACCTCCTCGCATACCTTGAGCCGCTCTAGAGCTCCCCGCAGTACCAGCACCTCCTGCGCGAACCGCTCCTCTGCCTCGGCAGCAGCATCCTGCTTCACCTCCTGCTCAGTCAGGTCACGACAGGCAAGGAGAATGCAGGAGGAGGAGCCGACTTGCACTAGGCGATGAGCCTCTTGGAGCTGCTCTGACAGGTCGCGGACCTGGCCCTTGAGGAGGTTGACTTCCTTGTCCCGGTCGTCGAGCTCGTCCTGTAGCTCTTGGATCGTAGCGCGGAGAACGGACGACTGGAGGACGAGGAGTGAGGAGGAGGCGGAAGGAAAGGGGTGGCATGTGCACGCACCTCGGACATGAGCCTCTCCGTCATTTCCTTGGACTTACCGGCGGCCCTCTCCTGCTCCCTCACCATCTCCTTGTACTGCTGCAGCTGATTGGTCATCTCCTCCCTCTCGACCTGCGGGGCGTCAGTCGATCCTCAGCGCTCCCGCCGTGCACGTCGCCAACCTCGTCCTCCTCGTTGGACATCTGCTGAGCTCGGAATGCCTCCAGCTGCTCGATTTTGGAGATGAACCTTTCGATCTGCTGCTCCTTGTCCTTGAGCTCCTTCTCGATGGCCTCGATCGCCGTCAAAGCGTCGCCGCTCGGGCAGCGGATCGAGAGAGAGCTGCAGACAGCTCGAGTCTTTTCCACGACACGCGACATCTGCTGGACAGCAGTCATGCACGGAGACTCTAACAAGGTCAAAGCCAAAAGCAGCAAGTATAGTCACCTCCTCGCTCTGTTTTCCCCTGCTGCCGTCCTCCAACAACCTCTTGTGGTTGGACCTGACGGAGCCCACGAGCTGCTCCACATTAACACTGAAGTTGTCCGGGCGGAAGGGGAGCTCCAGGAGAAGGCACATCTCCTCAACGTCCTTCATGAGCTGCGGCACCTGAAGGAGGGAGAACGATTTGTGTGACTCCATGAGGCGGACCAGGTCGTCCACATCGCACCCCACAGCCTGTGAGATCTGCCAACGCAGCTGACTGACACTTTCACTGGACGAATTCGTACTCTCAATCAGCTCCATCTGCTCCTTCAGGCTCGCCTGTAGCTTCTCCCCTAGGCTCCGCTTCCCCGCCTCTGCCGCCGACACCTCCTCCTCTAGCGCCTTGATCCTCTCCTCCATCGCCCCCTGATCTGCCCCTGCCTGCTCGCCCTGCCTCTTGAGCCCCTCGCACTCCTCCTCTGCCCTCTTCAGCGCTGCCTCGAGCGACTCTACCGTCTCCGTCAGCTTTTGCCTCTCTGCCTCTGCGGTCGCCGCTGCCGCCTCCAGCTCCCTCCTCCCCTCTGCCTCCTGCGCTGCTTCTGCACGCCGCTCCTCCTCCCTTGCCAGCGCTCTCTCCTCCGCTGCCCCCATCGCCGCCCTCAGCGCCTCCAGCTCTGACGCTAGCCCTGCCCTCTCCTTCTCTGCCTCCTCAAGCTTCCGTGATGCCTCTGCTGCTGTTGACGACAGTCGCTCCTTCTCCTCTACAGCCGCCTTCAGCTGGGACGACATCTCCCTCACCGCTGCCTCCTCCCCCGCTGCCAGCGACGACATCTGGTCCTCCAAGCTCCCCTTCGCCTTCTCCAGCTCCTCTACCTTCCCGACCAGCTCCATCTGCTCCTTCAGGCTCGCCTGTAGCTTCTCCCCTAGGCTCCGCTTCCCCGCCTCTGCCGCCGACACCTCCTCCTCTAGCGCCTTGATCCTCTCCTCCATCGCCCCCTGATCTGCCCCTGCCTGCTCGCCCTGCCTCTTGAGCCCCTCGCACTCCTCCTCTGCCCTCTTCAGCGCTGCCTCGAGCGACTCTACCGTCTCCGTCAGCTTTTGCCTCTCTGCCTCTGCGGTCGCCGCTGCCGCCTCCAGCTCCCTCCTCCCCTCTGCCTCCTGCGCTGCTTCTGCACGCCGCTCCTCCTCCCTTGCCAGCGCTCTCTCCTCCGCTGCCCCCATCGCCGCCCTCAGCGCCTCCAGCTCTGACGCTAGCCCTGCCCTCTCCTTCTCTGCCTCCTCAAGCTTCCGTGATGCCTCTGCTGCTGTCGACGACAGTCGCTCCTTCTCCTCTACAGCCGCCTTCAGCTGGGACGACATCTCCCTCACCGCTGCCTCCTCCCCCGCTGCCAGCGACGACATCTGGTCCTCCAAGCTCCCCTTCGCCTTCTCCAGCTCCTCTACCTTCCCGACCAGCTCCATCTGCTCCTTCAGGCTCGCCTGTAGCTTCTCCCCTAGGCTCCGCTTCCCCGCCTCTGCCGCCGACACCTCCTCCTCTAGCGCCTTGATCCTCTCCTCCATCGCCCCCTGATCTGCCCCTGCCTGCTCGCCCTGCCTCTTGAGCCCCTCGCACTCCTCCTCTGCCCTCTTCAGCGCTGCCTCGAGCGACTCTACCGTCTCCGTCAGCTTTTGCCTCTCTGCCTCTGCGGTCGCCGCTGCTTCTTGTAGATTCCGGATTATTTTATCCTTGCGCTTGTTTTCAGCACTCTGATCAGCCGCGTTATTGTTTTCTAATTGGCTCCGATTCATATCCACAGTTTGAAACGGTTCGCTAGATTGGGCGGTGAAGGAACTGCGGAAGCTGCTGAGCAGCTCTCGGACTGACGCAAGCTCAGGCTTCAGTTTTGGTTTGTCTTGCGTATAGACTTCACAAAGACTGGTCGCTTGTTCGATAGTGTTCAGAAGCAGCTCTATGTTTTCTGTAGAAATCCCCTTCACCTTTGGAATCTTCCTCTCTCGCTCTTGTTGCAACTTGAGCAGGAGTTCTTCCTTTTCGGTTTGAAGTTGGCTCACCTGTGCTTGGAGATACTCTCTCTCCATCTCCAGTCCTTCCACTTCCATAGAAATCCCTTCATGTGCCGATATCATCTGTATTCCTGTGGAAGTATGTTCCTCGGGACCATCAACTCCAACACCATTATGGTCGCCTTCGGAATAACGATTGTCTTCCGCATCCTCGGCTGCTAACTTGGTGAAAGTGCTCGACATTTCAGCGAGCTCTTCTCTCATTGCATGAGTCACATCCTTCGTGACTGATTGAATCGATCTGCTCACAGCCGACGATTGCTCCCAAAGCTTACTCCCCATTTCTGAGAACTTCACGTTCGACGTTACAGCTCTCATCAAAGGGGCTGATGGTCCACTTGAACCCTGATCAGCCTGGCCACGCACGCTGTCCGGCTCATCTTGTTTCCAGTCATCATCTTGATACGGAACTTCATGAAAGCCAGTCACTTCTTCTAAGCCGTCACCGTGAGTCATCGGAGCTTCGAACGGGATCCATTCTTCATCCTCTTCACTCTTTGTATCTTGGTTGCCAACCTCTCCATCGTCCGCCCATTCTTCGTCATCGTTGGATATCGTTGTTATAACTTCTTTAAATCCCTTCATTCCCACTCCCACCGTGCTTGACATCCCCACGATTTCTTCTTTCATCGCTGAGGCAACATCCTTCGTTACGGCTGAGATGGAGTTTCGAACAATCGATGATCGCTCCCACAGTGTACCTCCGACCTCGCCAAGAGGGAGTTTCACGTTTGACTTGACTGAGCTGAGGGCGTTGGTGCCTCCCGCATAAACTTTTCCCAGCAACCCTTTCATGGGGGAGTTTTGCACTCCCTCGTTGCCCTTGTTTGCCGTGGTTTCCAGAGCGATGCTTTGAAATGGAGCATCGTACGCGTCAACTGCTTCCTGTGCCTCAAGAAAACTCTGAGCTTGAGAGTCGACATGTTCCCTCTCATCTTGATCCCACTGTTCAGGGCTCAAGTGTTGCCCGTTTCCACCAGCCGCCTCATTCAAGTTTCCTAGTAAGATTTCCATGATGTCAATGAGCAAGAAAGCAAGGTCAATCAGCACAAGCAAGAAGGACCTTCAGGAGAATCCTCTCGTTCTTCGATATCGTCTTCATCTACCACAAGAATTCAAATCAGACTTCGTCGACGCTGCAGAGTGATCAGAGTCGTCAGAGGATCACCTGTCAACTCCTCATCTCCGAGGTTTGCAACAATGGCATCTCTAGCCGCCTGCTCGCGCGTGCAGTGAGATTCGTGGCGCACGCAAAGACAACACAACCTGGTCCAGAGATTGAATGGCGTTCGAAAAGCCTGATGTCAACCCGCTCCACATGCTCTCTTTGTTCAACAAAGCATCGCTAGACAAGAAGTAGCAAATGGTCAGAACGTGTATGGATGTTTCATATCATGTGAAAATTCGAACGTGGCCATGCTATCATTGACAAGGAAGACGGACTGCCGTAGAATTTCTACTTCCGATAGGAAGGCAGGAGAATGGTGAGATGAAAAGAAGTGGAACAGGAGAGGTGGGAAAGAGGTAGATAGGAGGAAGGAATTGTCACAAAGAAAATGATCAAGTGTAGAACGAACACAGTGTGCAGCGAGATGAGCAGCTCGACCGGATTCACACGGAAGGTGGGGTCGACCCAAAACAGGACAAGCACAGGGACCGTGTAGAGATACAGCAAGTAAGAAGGAAGAATAGGTATGATCAGTGATGAGCGATGAGTGATGAAGGAGAGTGAATGGTGGAGCGACGACATGAACGCCGGCGGCGGCGCGGGAAGGGGCAGGGCGGGAGTTTCCTTTTGTGTGCATTGGAAAACTACGTGGTAACGAATACAACCAATTTAAATCTAAAAATTTGAATCGATTAAAGTCAAGTGGCTGCGGGGGCCCGCCGGGGCGCGGCCGGCCCGGCCCGGGGCGGGGGCGGCCTGCGCAGTGCGACAGCCTGACTCGTTCACCGGGCCGCCGGGCCTCCCCGGCGGCGACTCTGAGTCCGGCTTAGCGGCCGCGGGCGCGTAACCGTGGCAGCGTCGGCCGGACCCTGCAGTAAACACTGAATGAATCTTGAACTGGTTGACTTGCAGTAAACACTGAATGAATCTTGAGGTTCGGACTTGCAGGCCCCGGGCCCAGTAAATCAGTACGGTAAATCATGCTTTACTTGAGTGAGCCTGCCGCGAGTCTGACCCTACCCCCTCGTTTCAGGGAGGATTTCATCTGCAAATGACCCCTGCCATGTTGCGCCCTCACTTCATATTTCCCTCTATCGTCTTTTCACCCCTCCTTTATAGGAGAATTGCATGAGGAAAAGTGGGTGGGGTGAGTTCGATTGTCAACACGCTACGGCTTTTGCGATAAATCGCGATAGAACTATCTTGAAAGGCAGGAGGGGAGGAGGGGAGGACGGGAGGAGGGGAGGAGGGGAGGAGGGGAGGACGGGATCTGTGTGGGACAGGAAGGACGGTGTGAAGTCCACTTGCTCTTGATACTTGCTGCAGGTGCTGCTAAATCGCTCTCAATTCCCGCACAACTCATGGAGACGCTTTCAACTTTCTGGGCTGGTTATCATCTGAAGTGAGAACAGAGGAAGCAGTGGAGAAGAGGAGGGAGGAGGAAGAGGAGGAAGAATGGGAGATTGTGCAGGTAGAAGATAACGAGGGAGGGAGAAACAAGGCGACTGAGCCGGAAGCGAGAAAGGCGAGGAAGGAACTGAAGCAAGCGATTACCAAAGGAGATGACAACACAGTGAGACGGCTGGTTGTGAGTAGTGTGACAGATCGACTGGAGCAAGAGTACGAAGTGGACCCAAACAAAGTGATGACCATAGTCAGCGGCAGCAGGGACAACAAGTTGCGAGTGTGGGATCTTGATAAGATGGAGCAGAAGGCTTGTCTTAATGGTCATGTTGGTGCAGTGAGGTGCATGGCCATCAGCAAGGACGGGCAGACGCTGGTCAGTGGGAGTGAGGATCGCGTTGTGGGGGTGTGGAATCTTGAGACGATGGAGCAGACATCACAGCAATGTAACATGTGTTGTGATAAGCAAGGACGGGCCGGAATCTCCGGTCCCTTTATGTCTTGAAGCTATGTCATGACTTATCCCTGCAAGAAATTACTTTCCTCCTCCTCACACCCCCTGCTCCTTCCTTCCTTCTCGTCCCTCCTCCTCCTCCTCCTCCTCCTCCACCACCACCTCCAAGTCACGATGGGATGACAAGGAGGACGGTACGAGGAGATGGGCCAGGACGAAGGTGGCGAGGGAGATGCCAAGGAGGCAGGTACGTGGAGATGACAGGGGAGGGAC